CTTTAAAAATCCTCTCCTCACACAAGGCCACTACAGTTTTACAGGCCATATGTTATGTAAGGTATACCCAGCTATTGAAAGCATTCACTCTACTCTAAGGAAGAGGAGTTTGTTTGTTTTTGTTGTGGCTGTTGTTATTTCCCCATAAAAGTGCATCCTGCTACTCAAGGGGAAGTGGCTCACACCTGTAATCCCAGCACTTTGGGAGGCCAAGACGGTCAGGAGATCAAGACCATCCTAGCCAACATGGTGAAACTCCCTTTCTACTAAAAATATATACATATATACAAAAAAATTAGCAAGATGTGGCGGCACGTGCCTGTAGTCCCAGCTACTCTGGAGGCTGAGGAAGGAGAATCGCTTGAACCTGGGAGGTGGAGGTTGCAATGAGCCAAGATCGCACCACTGCACTCCACCCTGGGTGACAGAGTGAGACTCTGTCTCAAAAATGAAATGAAATGAAATTTTAAAAATGTGTGCTAACCAAGAGAAGGCACCTTTTTCTAATCCACCAAGTGGCATAGTATAGGTGATAGTAGCCCTGTCCTCCTCTTCCTTTCTCTTACCCTCTCCCTCCCCTCCTCCCCATGTCTCACTTCTTGTCCTCTCCTATCTTGCTCCACTCCCCTGTGACCCTTAATGATAACACTCTTCTTTCTTTATTGCTGGGTATTTGAAATATTATTGCATTCACTGTTTATTGCACTGGAGGCTGTCTGGGCTGTGGCTATGCATGGCCACTGTGAGGCAGGATTAAAAAAAGAAGATTCCTGAACAATGGAGAGAGCCCAGCTGAGCCTGGACATCGAACACCTCAAATAATGCTGTGTGGCACTATTTTGTTTATTGCTTAACAGACTGAGTGTGTAGGCTCAAAGTATAAATGTTTTAATGAAGCTAGGGTTAGAAATGCACAGGATGGACCAGGCACAGTGGCTCACGCCTGTAAACCCAACACTCTGGGAGGCCAGACAGGCGGATCACCTGAGGTCAGAAGTTCGAGACCAGTCTGATCAACCTGGAGAAACCCCATCTCTACTAAAAATACAAAAAATTTAGCTCGGTATGGTGGCACCTGCATGTAATCCTGGCTACTCAGGAGGCTGAGGAAGGAGAATTGCTTGAACCCAGGAGGTGGAGGATGCTGTGAGCCAAGATTGCACCACTGCACTCCATCCTGGGCAACAAGGGTGAAACTCCATTTCATTAAAAAAAAAAATGCACAGGATGAGTATAACAGAAGGTCAGTAGGGCTGAGAAACTTCTGACACTAGTGCACATGCCATACAAATGCTTAGCCAAGGAATTCAGCTAGTAAGGATGCTTAAAACAATAAAGGAATTAGGGAAGATCTTCATTAGCGCTGGACCTTGATTTAGCAAGGATGAGAAAACTGGTTGGCAAAATGAAAATTGTTCTTAGATGTTAATAAAGATGCTGGATCCAGACTGCCTAAATTCTAATTGGTGCCTCATCATTTGTAACCTTGTCAAGTTATTTTACTTACCCATGGTTTCACTTTCTTTCTTTTTTTTAATATATATTTTATAGCATTTTAGGTTTTGGGGTACATGTGAAGAACATGCAAGATTGTTGCATAGGTACATACATGGCAATGTGGTTTGCTGCCTTCCTCTCCATCACCTATATGAGGCATTTCTCCTCATGTTATCCCTCCCCAACTCCCCACCCCCTGCTGTCCCTCCCCTAGATCCCCCTCGACAGACCCCAGTGTGTGATGCTCCCTTCCTTGTGTCCATGTTGCATAGGTACATACATGGCAATGTGGTTTGCTGCCTTCCTCTCCATCACCTATATGAGGCATTTCTCCCCATGTTATCCCTCCCCAACTCCCCACCCCCTGCTGTCCCTCCCCTAGATCCCCCTCGACAGACCCCAGTGTGTGATGCTCCCCTCCTTGTGTCCATGTGTTCTCATTGTACAGCAACCACCTATGAGTGAGAACATGCGGTGTTTGATTCTCTGTTCTTGTGTCAGTTTGCTGAGAATGATGGTTTCCGGGTTCATCCATGTCCCTACAAAGGACACGAACTCATCGTTTTTTATGGCTGCATAGTATTCCATGGTGTATATGTGCTACATTTTCCCTATCCAGTCTATCATCAGTGGGCATTTGGGTTGGTTCCAAGTCTTTGCTATTGTAAACAGTGCTGCAATGAACATTTGTGTGCATGTGTCCTTATAATAGAACAATGTATAATCCTTTGGATATATACCCAGTAATGGGATTGCTGGGTCAAATGGAATTTCTATTTCTAGGTCCTTGAGGAATTGCCAGACTGTCTTCCACAATGATTGAATTAATTTACACTCCCACCAACAGTATAAAAGTGTTCCTATTTCTCCACATCCTCTCCAGCATCTGTTGTCTCCAGATTTTAATGATCACCCTTCTAACTGGCGTGAGATGGTATCTCAGTGTAATTTTGATTTGCATTTCTCTAATGAGCAGTGATGATGAGCATTTTTTCATGTTTGTTGGCCTCGTATATGTCTTCTTTTGAAAACTGTCTGTTCATATCCTTTGCCCACTTTTGAATGGGCTTGCTTGTTTTTTTCTTGTAAATCTGTTTTAGTTCTTTGTAGATTCCGGATATCAGCCCTTTGTCAGATGGGTAGATTGCAAAAATTTTTTTCGATTGGTTGCCGATTCACTCTAATGATTGTTTCTTTTGCTGTGCGTAAGCTCTGGAGTTTAATTAGATCCCATTTGTCTATTTTGGTTTCTGTTACCATTGCTTTTGGTGTTTTAGTCATGAAGTCCTTGCCTATGTCCTGAATGGTTTTGCCTAGGTTTTCTTCTAGGGTTTTTATGGTGTTAGGTCTTATGTTTAAGTCTTTAATCCATCTGGAGTTAATTTTAGTGTAAGGTGTCAGGAAAGGGTCCAGTTTCTGCTTTGTGCACATGGCTAGTCACTTTTTCCAACACTGTTTATTAAACAGGGAATCCTTTCCCCATTGCTTGTTTTTGTGAGGTTTGTCAAAGATCAGATGGTTGTAGATGTGTTGTGTTGCCTCCAAGGCCTCTGTTCTGTTCCATTGGTCTATATCTCTGTTTTGGTACCAATACCATGCTGTTTTGATTACTGTAGCCGTAGTATAATTTGAAGTCAGATAGTGTGATGCCTCCAGCTTTGTTCTTTTTGCTTAGAATTGACTTGGCTATGCAGGATCTCTTTTGGTTCCTTATGAAGGTTAAAGTGGTTTTTTCCACTTCTGTGTAGAAGGTCATTGGTAGCTTGATGGGGATAGCATTGCATCTATAAATTACTTTGGGCAGTATGGCCATTTTCATGATATTGATTCTTCCTAACCATAAGCATGGAATGTTTCTCCATCTGTTTGTGTCCTCTCTTATTTCTTTGAGCAGTGGTTTGTCATTCTTCTTGAATAGGTCCTTTACATCTTTTGTTAGTTGTATTCCTGGGTATTTTATTGTCTTTGTAGCAATTGTGAATGGCAGTTGATTCTTGGTTTGGCTCCCTTTAAGTCTGTTATTGGTATATAGGAATGCTTGTGATTTTTGCACATTGATTTTGCATCCTGAGATTTTGCTGAAGTTGCTTATCAGTTTCAGGAGATTTTGGGCTGAGACAATGGGGTCTTCTAAATATACAATCATGTCTTCTGCAAATAGAGACAATTTGACTTCTTTCTTTCCTAATTGAACACCCTTTATTTCTTTTTCTTGCCTGATTGCTCTGGCTAGAACTTCCAATACTATATTGAATAGGAGTGGTGAGAGAGGGCATCCTTGTCTCGTGCCAGATTTCAAAGGGAATGCTTCTAGGTTTTGCCCATTCAGTATGATATTGGCTGTGGGTTTGTCGTAAATAGCTTTTATTATTTTGAGATACATTCTGTCTATACCTAGTTTACTGAGAGCTTTTAGCATAAAGGGCTATTGAATTTTGTCAAAGGCCTTCTCTGCATCTATTGAGATAATCATGTGGTTTTTGTCTTTGGTTCTGTTTATGTGGTAAATAACGTTTATCGACTTGCGTATGTTGAACCAGCCTTGCATCCCCAGGATGAAGCCTACTTGATCGTGATGGATAAGCTTTTTGATGTGCTATTGCAATCAGTTTGCCAGTATTTTATTGAAGATTTTTGGATGTATGTTCATCATGGATAGTGGCCTGAAGTTTTCTTTTCTTGTTGAGTCTCTGCTGGGCTTTGCTATTAGGATGATGTTGGTCTCATAAAATGATTTGGGAAGGATTCCATCTTTTTGGATTGTTTGGAATAGTTTCAGAAGGAATGGTACCTCTTTGTATGTCTGGTAGAATCCAGCTATGAACCCATCTGAACCTGGGCTTTTTTTGGTGGGTAGGCTATTCATTGCTGCCTCAACTTCAGCCCTTGTCATTAGCCTATTCAGAGTTTCAGCTTCTTCCTGGTTTAGGCTTGGGAGGATGCAAGTGTCCAGAAATTTAACCATTTCTTCCAGGTTTACTGGTTTATGTGCATAGAGTTGTTTGTAGTAATCTCTGATTGTAATTTGTTCTCCTTCCTTTTCTTGTTCTTATTCTATCTTTGAGGACTCATTCTTCATCTTTTTCATGTCCGAGAGAAAATTCTGCCCCCGACGACTTGGGTGTAGTTTTTTTCTGTCTTAGGGAATTAAATCTTAAATAAGAAACTACCAGCCCTCTTCGCATGTTTAGAGTGAGAAGGGAGTAATTGTCTCTCTGTCAAGAAAAAAGTTGCCCAAACACTCACCACAGGTCAGCATATTGGCACCGTGCCGACCGTTGGGAAGTAGGCTGCCACAGTTTTAGAGACCGATTGGCAAAACCTTTACAAGACTTACTACCGGCCCTTTTGGGGCTTCTTAGGAGAATCCTGTCCTTACCGTTGGCCCCTACCACCTGTTCTCGTGGCCTGTACCAGAGACAGACTCATTAATTTGATTATACTTTCCCTACAAGATCTAGTTGTAGAGGCACTCTTAAAACCAGTGCTGGGGAAAGGAGAACATGAGTATCATGCCTGCCAAAATTGGAAATACCACAGAAGCCACAAGACCTGAGTAACTATTGAGAAAAAGTAGACAGAAGAGAGGAGAGAGGAGACACAGAGGAGACAGGAGACAGAGAAGAGAGGAGAGAAGGTAGACAGAGAAGAGAGAAAAGAAAGGAGAAAGAAGACAGAGAAAAGGGAGGAGACAGAGAAGAGAGGAGAAAGTAGAGGAGAGGAAAGAGACAAAGAGGAGAGAAAGGAGACAGAGAGAGAAAGGTGACAGAGAAGAGAGAGAAAGCAGAGGACAGAGGAGAGAAAGGAGACAGAGGAGAGAAAGGAGACAGAGAAGAGAGAGAAAGCAGAGGACAGAGGAGACAGGAGAGAAAGGAGACAGAGGAGAGAAAGGAGACAGAGGAGAGAAAGGAGACAGAGGAGAGAGAGAAAGCAGAGGACAGAGGAGACAGGAGAGAAAGGAGACAGAGAGAGAAAGGAGACAGAGAAGAGAGAGAGAAAGTAGAGTACAGAGGAGACAGGAGAGAAAGGAGACAGAGAGAGAGAAAGTAGAGGAGAGAGGAGACAGAGAGGAGAGAAAGGAGAGGAGACAGAGAGAAAGGAGAGGAGACAGAGAGAAAGGAGAGGACAGAGGAGACAGGAGAGAAAGGAGACAGAGGAGAGAAAGGAAACAGAGAGAAAGTAGAGGAGAGAGGAGACAGAGAGGAGAGAAAGGAGAGGAGACAGAGAGAAAGTGGAGGACAGAGGAGACAGGAGAGAAAGGAGACAGAGGAGAGAAAGGAGACAGAGAGAGAGAAAGTAGAGGAGAGAGGAGACAGAGAGGAGAGGAGAGAGAGAGAAAGTAGCAGAGAAGAGAGAAAAGAAAAGAGACAGAGAGAGAGAAAAGAGAGAGACAGAGAGAAGAGGCAGAGAAGAATTTAATGCTTTTCAGGATCCCTGTGTCAAGGTGACCAAAAGCTTCAGGGGCGGGGAACTCCCAGCAGGCCCAGAGGCTGTGAGCTCAGTTTTAAACTGACACTAAAAGCGTTATTTTTTTTACTTTTCTCTGCCGGCCGCAAGCCCCGCCTAGCTTTCAGGCAGGCCACACCACCTCAGGGTACAGTATTTGCATACAAAATACAACTTAAGAAAGCTTTCTGCCTTCCCCTGCAAAAAATGGCCTGATAGCATAGTAGTTAAGGTGTAGAGCCTGCTACTGTAAGGTTGCTGGTTCAAATCCTTGGGGGAGCTAGTCTTAAATTAGAAAAAAGGTGAACTTTTAGGAAAACTTTGAAGCTGAAGGCTATATGACTTTATGTTTAGTATAATTTTTCTTGCTTAGAATTGGCTCTCTCTACAGCAGAACTTTTCCATCTGAATTGGCTTAAAAACAAACAAACAAAAAAACATAGTTAAAACTAGTTCCAAGCGCCCAAGGAAAACCAAATGGGGTCCTCTAGCTCCTGGCCCTGCACACCCCTCCAATGCATGACGGCCAGTTTCAATGCGAGGTTTTCAGGATAATATGGGGAAAATTTAACACCAGGAAAACTTCGCACATTGTGTGAACTAGAGTGGCCGTTGTTTGGAGTGGGGTAGCCTGACACTGGGACCTAGGACCCAAAAATTGCCCAGGCTGTATGGTAAGTGATCTCAGGAACTCCTGGACACCCTGACCAGTTTCCATACATTGACCAATGGTTGGATTTAGTCCAACAACCCCCTCCGTGGCTGAAACGCTGCATAAAACAGGCTGGACTTCAGGTCATGTTAGCCGGCCCAAAGAAGGCCCCTACAACACCAGCCATTCTCCCCGCCCCAGCAGAGAACCTAGAGTTACCTCCGCCTTACTTTAGACCCTCTGTACAGGGGTCCCAGCACCCCTTTCCAGACAGCACTGGTAGCCAGCCCTTGTCCCCACTGCATACCCACAGCGGGGCCCCACACCCACCCGGGGTTCTTCCCCTCCGAGAGGCACCCCCAGTGGAAGGCAGTAGCCGGGGTCACCCATTCTTTGTCCACATCCCCTTCTCTTCTAGTGATTTATACAACTGGAAGGCTCAACACCCTCTGTTCTCTGAAAAGCCTCAGGAACTCACAGGACTACTGGAGTCCGTTCTGCAGACTCACCGCCCCACTTAGGGTGACTGTCAGCAGTTACTTCTCATTCTGTTTACCATGGAAGAGAAAAGCAGAATTAAACAGGAGGCCCTTAAGGCCATCATAGGGCTGGTGGGAGGTACGATAGAGGAGAACCGGAACTGGATTAAAGACATTTTTCCCTCTACCTGACCCCAATGGGACACCAACACCTCGGGGGACACCAGGCTCTGAACACTTTTCACCGGTATCTTTTAGCAGGGGTTAAGGGGGTGGCTAGGAGGCCCACACCCGGGCCCGTCTTGATATGTGGGTAACACCCGCCATGGGCACCGAGGAAGAACTGTCCAGACCCCAGGCACAATCAGTGCCTAAAGAATATCTTAGTTTATAGTGATATGACTCAGCTGTTTCCTTTATATAACCCTGCATGTAGTCGGAGCTATACTCACATTATTATTGCTAATTTATAAAGTCCTACTATATAACCATATAGTAGCTTATAGTAGGAGGAATGTCTAGCGCAGTCACAGAGCAGAAGCAGTACATAGTAAAACAGCCAGACCATGACAAGAACCAAAGATCCAGGCGGTGGCATCCCTGCCTGAAAGGGCATATGCTGTATGGCAGGCCTGGAGCAAGTGCCTCTCCTCCTGATAAAGGAGTTATAGTAACTTGCATCCAGTTCCTGTGGAAAGTAAACCTCAGGCCTGAGATCCTGGAAGTAACTGAGGGAGAAGAACACCTCTGGTGTGACCAGTGACAGGGGCTGTACACCTGGTCAGTCTTTTCTCGCTTCTGTGCTAGCTCAAAGAATCCTCCCATAAATATTAAGAAAAAAACACAAGTCTGTCAGTTCCCATTACATTAAGCTTACAATATCCTTCTATTAGGAATCCTTTAAAATCTCCAGCCCCCTACTGCGCACGGCCCACCTCCCTGCCTGGGTGAAATAATAGGGTGGCCCCCTCACTTGTAACTCTGCCAGCCCCAGTTCTATACCCCCAGGATGGTGGATTCTGCCAGACACAAGGATTGTGGTCCCCTAGGCTCTAGGATGGGCTCTAGTTAAGGACACACTCCAGGCCACACACTTAGGACAGACAAAACTAACTGAGCTGCTAAGGGCCAGATACCACATTCCACATCTACACAAATTTGTCAGGGAAACTACAGCTCAATGTGATGTATGTGCCAGGGTAAATCCAGGAGGCAGTAGGTCTAGTCAGGCAGGGATAATACTTGGGGGTATTAGCCCTGGAGAACACTGGGAAGTAGACCTTACTGAAATAAAGCCCCCAGCCTGCAGCTATAGATAACTCCTTGTGTTTGTAGACACCTCCTCTGGATGGGTCAGGGCATTCCCTACTAGGTCTGAAACCGCACTGGTAGTAGCAAAAAGTTGTTACAGGACCTGGTTCCTCGGTTCAGCCTGCCCCTCACTCTGGTATCAGATAATGGCCCTACTTTCACAGCACAAGTTTCTTAGGGCCTGGCCAAGTCCCTAGGCATATCCTGGAAACTACATTGTGCCTGTCACCCCCAGAGTTGAGGGCAGGTTAAAAGAATGAACCAGACCATAAAAGAAACCCTAACGAAGTTCATCCTGGGCAGTGAAAACTGGGCAGCCTGCTCCCTTTTGTCTTCCTCCGCGTCCAGTGCACCCCCTACCAAAAAGGCTTATCTCCCTTTGAAATTATGTTTGAAAGGCCCCCTCCCTTACTCCCCAGACCTGCAGATGCCATACATGCTGAAGTCCATAACCATGCACTCCTTAAGTCCTTACAAGCATTCCAGTCTGTTCAGTACCAGGTATACCGGCTCACTAAGAACACCCGTCCCACCCCAGTGGACCTCACTGCCAACTAACACACCCCTTCCAGCCCGGAGACTCAGTCCTTTTCAAAAGATTCACCACCGCCAGCCTCACCCCACGTTGGAAGGGACCCTACACAGTCATCCTGACCAACCCCACCGCACTCAAGGTGGACATACTAACAGCCTGGATTCACCACACCCACGTCAAGACCACCCCACCAGAAGGACAGTGGAGCACAGACCACTCCTACTCCGATTCGCTAAAGCTAAGACTTGTGCGCTCTTCACTGTCACCACCTTCGCCTCTCTAATCTGCACTGTCAACCCAGATAGACAACCCCCCTTAAAACCCGCCCCGACCTAACCAAACTATAGGGCCAAATGCAGGAATTGTACTGCCTCTGCTATCTCCTTCTTTTGCTACCATCACCCCCGTAATTGAGGAAGCCCCCTTCTCTCTGCTATTACGCCCTCCACTCAGCCCCCAACAACCCTAACTTCAACTGTGGAAAGCCTTAACCTCCTAGGTTTTTTTTTTTTTTTTTTTTTTTTTTTTTTTTTTTTTTTTTTTTTTTTTTTTTTTTTTTTTTTTTTTTTTGAGACGGAGTTTCGCTCTTGTTACCCAGGCTGGAGTGCAATGGCGCGATCTCGGCTCACTGTAACCTCCGCCTCCTGGGCTCAGGCAATTCTCCTGCCTCAGCCTCCTGAGTAGCTGGGATTACAGGCACACGCCACCATGCCCAGCTAATTTTTTATATTTTTAGTAGAGACGGGGTTTCACCATGTTGACCAGGATGGTCTCGATCTCTTGACCTTGTGATCCACCTGCCTCGGCCTCCCAAAGTGCTGGGATTACAGGCTTGAGCCACCGCGCCCGGCAACCTCCTAGATTTATTGTCTTCTACTCACCACCTACTTAACCTAACCAACTTGGGTTTGGGTATAGACTGTTGGTTATGTTTAAATCCTCAACCTCCATTTTACATGGGCCTAGTGGAACAACTTGCTTTAACCCTAACACTCCATGCTCTCGAAAAATACTCCACTTAACTTTGGGAGATATCGAGAGAAAGAGTAAATGTTACCACTCCCCTGATTACACCCTCACCAATTCCCCTTACAAACATTTCTGTAATAAGACTCTTCCCCTAAGTTACAATGGGACAAATTTTTCCTAAAACAGGGAGGGCTCTGCGCTGCCCTGAACGAACAATGCTGTTTTTATGCCAATAAGACAGGCCTTATCTGGGACAGCCTCTCTTTAGGCAGACAAAACTTAGAAACCAGAAAACGGCTCTGGAAAGCCTCAGAAAACTGGTATCAAAAATTGTTCTCCTGGTCCCCATGGCTTACTTCCCTGCTTACTGCCATAGCGGGACCTGTAATCCTACCTATACTAGGACTCATGTTTAGGCCTTGCCTCCTAAAGCAATTACTCAACATAATACAGTCAAGAATCAGATCCCAATATGAGCCCAAGTACCAAACTAAGCAGTCCCTCCAAATACAAGAATCAATGATTTGATTCAATGTACATAAAAACAGGGGGGAATGTGCCATGGCTAACCCATAGTTAGAACCCAAGCAATGCCATCTTAAACCCTGTACCCTGCAAGCACCAAGAAAGCCAGTTTTTCCAAAAATAAGTTGTAACTGCTGCCCCGTTTCCTTTGTGATAACTGCTTGCTGCCCCGCTTTCCTTGCAATAACAACTGACCTCGGCAGTGGCGGCCCGCTAAGTAATGGCGGACTGCCTCGGCCACGCCGGACTACCTCTATGGTAACGGCTGACGCCTCTCCCCCACAGGGCTGGACTGTGCTGGGTTCAGCTGTGCTTGCTGTGAAACTCTCAATCCAGAGAGTTTCAGATTGCTGGTCTTTGTGGGGGTGGGACTGGTCGTGCCTGATCATCTGGCTCCCTGCCTCAGACCCCTTTTTTTCAATAGAACTGGCAACTCTCTCCCAGGTGCTCCAGTCGCCAGTTGAAAAGGCGTTGCGACTTGTGTGAGACTTTGTGCGGCTGCGCGGCTGAAACAGCCGTGCTGGGGCTCGTCGCGCTTTTTCGCCGGGAATCTCCTGGCCTGGCTCCCTATTTCAGTCCCACTTTTTTCAGTGGAA